TTTCCGTGGCCCTGGCCATGAGTTTCTGTGTTGTGATTGTCTCCTTCAACGTCAAGATCAATTGGTCTGCCATTCCCAGCAAGAGTGTCGCCCCCAATGTTTTCCCTCTGTCCGTCACTGGCCATCTATTCTTCTAAGTTCCCACAGACGGCGCCAAGTTGTGTGAGTGATAATTTGACCACACTACCCGTTTAGTAATCAGTTGGAGAGCATTAGCAGAATAGATGGCTTTAGCTAACCTGTAACAGAAAGAAAAGGCTCTGGCGGTGGTTCTTCCACCCGCGGGCACTCCGACGATCAAGTCAGTATATCTCTCAAAGATAATCAAGTGCTAAACTTATTGCTCAAAACATAAATTGCATACCTTAGACCCACGGGGGTGCCTCTCTTTTATAGCCAACTCAATCCTAGTCCCACTAGAAGCCTGACTTCTATGGACTCCCATTCAGTGCTTACTTTGGATTTCTCAAGAGATAAAGATAAACTCCCTAAGAGCTTTATCCTTATCTTAGCAAAGTCTTCTCTTTACTCTAGGACTCTTGCCCCTTTTATCTATTATTCGATTATCTTGGATTCTGATATCTTCGGAGATAACCTCGGCCTCGACAAGATAACCTCGCCATAACTACCACGACACGTGGCACCTCGGTTCACACGTCGGCGTCACCATGCCACGTGTTGGTACTCAGAAAACATATTCCCATAGTTTCCCACCCATAAAAAATTGTTGGCTTGACTATTTCATATTTTATTAATTGTTGCGATGGCTTCAATTCCATATCATGTAATAAATGTGTTGAAGATTAAAACTAATAGGAAAATGTGCATAATGAAAAAAATAAAATAGAAAACATTGCAGGTCTTAAGATGATATATATCTTTGTAAATTTTGAGTTACTATAGGAATAACTTTGTGCTAAGTTATTGTCAATATTAAAATTTATGTCTAATTGTGATTTTATTTGGGTTTTTGGTTTGTATACATTTTAAGCGGTCTTTATATGGGAGTGCTTTGTGGTTAAACAAATTATAGCAGGGCCGTTTTTTCTTTATTTTTCTCACTATATTTCGGGTTTATAATTTGCAAAGAACTGTTAAAATGTGATTGGCAGTAATAACACTAGCAGGGTGTACATTGTTTGGTGAGATTGTAGAGCACCAACTAATGTGCATTTTAATTTTAATTTTTTTGAATTGCAGAGTATTGGCTAGTGTCCATTTTATTTTTACTTTTTTTTTATATTGCAGAGTACTGGTTGATGTATATTGTTTGGCGTTTTGTTTTAATTTTTTGGGATTGCAAAACACTTGCTGGTGTGCTTACTAATTTTTTTTTTCTTTCTTGGATTATGGAGTTAACATGTGTACAATAGCTTTGGTTTGTACAATTTTTTCTTGACTTTCTTACCTGGTGTGTTTTTATTTTTTATTTTTGTGTTGACACGTGGTTTATACTTTGGTGTTGATGTGAAGCTTACACTTTGGTGTTTGTTAATAGAAACGAAATGTCTATAACAAAATTAAAATATATTCTTAAGTTTTATTGGGCGTGCCTTCAGGCTCGGGTTATTCCTAGAGTTTACACATAAAGCCTTTAGGCACGGTCGATGACTGTAATTGGAGCCTCCATTAAAGTACAAATATGTAAGAAGCCTAATTTTTTTATTATTATTTGGGAATGTGGATTGGTATGTTGTGATAGAAATTATACTTCGAGTTTTGTTTATTAATTTTTTTTCCTTCTTTTTTAGACTCGATAACTCAAGCAGTGCTTAACGCTCAAACAATTACATTTTTTCTCATTTGTTTTGTTATGCATGTGTTGAAGTTGAATTGGGATTTTAATGAATCAATTTGATTTGGGTAATGCTTTACATTTGAATGTCTTCTTTTTTCTTTTTCTATCAATCACTCCATTCATCTTAGTAACAAAATGATTTTTTTTCTTTAGTTCGTGTTTTAGGTGTGATTTATTTATTTTTTTTAAATGCTATACTCTGTAGAGTATGGACATCCATGTTGATGATAATGAACTATGAAAGTGATTCGAACTGTGACAAAGTCACCTAAGATATCGTTATTTCCTTTTAGTTACTCTGTGTATAATGGACGTCCATGTATATTATCCCTTGCACTGTCTACAAACATTAATGGTACTTTGATTAATTATTTTCTTTCCTTTGTTTCGATTGCTATATTTCTATAAATCAATTTCTAATATCTGATTTCCTCTTGCTACAGTTCATTAATTTTTGACGCAGTTCATCAGTTTCTTTAATGAAAAGAATTCTATTTTTTGATTTCTTTGATAATATTTTTCATTAAAGTTTTGATAAATATGTCATTTCCTTTCTCCCTCTAATCATTAGTTTTCTCTCAAGTTTTAGTTTGTTACTTTTTGCTATTTTCATATTGTGCTGTGTTTTTTGCTGGTGGTCATCAATTTCTAGATATAATCAAATATATAAACCCTCTCACACAAATTTTCTTTATTACATCTATTTCATTACTCATATAATTTTGATAAAAGTTAAATTTTTTGGTCTGTTACTTTTGTAGTTATGTTTTAAACAAAGCTCCCTTTCCATTTGCATAAAAGATCAAAGCAAAATGGGACTAATGAGTAGTAAACAACGATAAAAATAAAAAATAATAATTAGTATTGCTCAAACATTTTTCTTTAATTTGGTTTTTTCACTAGATTTTTTTCTCAAGTTTTCTTTCTTTCTTTCTTATGGAGCTTAGTAAAGAGTGTTGTAGTAGTCTTTGTAGCTTTTCTATGAGTGGTTTTGGTGAATGTTCAAGTAGTGAAATGAAATAGAACAGATTGGTATGACCTATGAGAAACCTAATAGAATGGCTTATTTGAATGACTGTACCCTAGATTTCTTTTCCCCCCTAAGAAAGTGTTGGCTTGGCCATTACATATTTTGGTGATTGTTGGGAGTATGTGTTGAAGATTTAAACCAAAAAGAAAATGTGCATAATGACGATTGAAAAAATTGAAAAAATAAATAAAAAGGGTAGATAAACATAGATAAATCTCTTTTTTTTTTTTTGGGTGAACACACAAACTAATCTTGGTAACAAAATAAATGCCTTTCTTAAAACAATATACGTTGGTAAATTTTGAGTTACTTTGGAACTTTGAAAGTAACTTTGTGTTAAGTTTTGAAATCCCCTATTGTCAAAATAAAAATTAATGTCTAATTGTCTCTTAAATTGGTTATGCATGTGTTTCAGTTGAATTGGGATTTATAAATTTACATTTTATTTAAGAAAAAACTAAAGTTGCAGGTTCTTTTTTCGTCTCTATTTCCGTCTCTTTTTTAACTTTTGGAATATGAGGACAACAAAATTGTGGTGTAAAGCTTTCGTGTCCCATTGTTTTTCTTGCCTGGTTTAGTTAGTAAAGAAAAACATGTGTTTTCATTTTTTGTCAAGTACATAGTAAAGGTAGCAAAACTAGACAAGGAAACATGTGAAGAAAGTGAGTTGGACTGTGTGTAATGGCAAGTGGTGTCTAATAAATGATAGATGCTTTTGAGCAGTAAAAAAGTTTATTACATATTATGTGACGTTGATTTGACAATACTGAACATTAGGCATTTTTTCTTCTAATTAAATTTTTTGCTTTAATCCATTTAATCTAACTTTATTATTATTTTTCATTTTTTTTTTCCAGGTATCGATACTAGAATGGCTATTGAATGACTTTCAAATCCTTTTATCTATGGCTAATTTTTAGGGCAACAATTTCATTTTTAAAATTGTTTTAGTTAATGTAATTGATGATTTTTTTACATTAATCATCTTCACATTAACTCTTCGGTTTAGCCATATTCAATCGTTATATGAATGCGATGATTTTTGTTGACAACTTACTCGACTTAGGTTTGGATGTATACTATATATGCCTTTCAAACTATATGATTGGCTGGAAGGAGAGTGTCTTTAGGTTCGGGTAAAAATATTGTTGAAATTATGCACCAATTATATAGATAAAATTATATAGGCACTGGTGAACCCACTTAATGTAATAAGGTAATTTCAATTTCAAAGTATTTTGATATTATTTTTTTTTTCAACAAATATACTAATCTATATTTTTTTGCTTCTACAAATTACCAGATTATTGTGCATGTTCCTCATTGGGGATACATACAAGTTGATACAAAGACTTTTTAGAAAGTAATGAGGAGGAAGTTTGGGTAAACACATGTTTGAAGACATTATTGACACATCTTTTGTAAAGCATACATCCACTTTTTATGAAGCAAACACATCTTTTGTAAAGATTTTTCCCATTCTTTTGTAAAATATACATAAATTATCGGCTCAGGTGTATGGCAATATAATGTTTGTTTTGCTTATAATACATAAATTATCGGCTCAGGTGTATGGCAATATAATGTTTGTTTTGCTTATATAATTATAATTTGATTGGCAGCAGTAGTACTAGCTTGTGTGTAATTTTATTTTTATTTTTTTTTAGATTGCAAAGCATTGGCTGATGTGCATTGTTTGGCATTTAATTTTATATATATATATATATTTGATTTGTTTGAAATTGTAGAGTAGAGGTTGGTGTGCATTGTTTGATATTTAATTTTCAATTTAATTTGTTGAGATTGCAGAGCATTTGTTGGTGTGCTTTATGTGATTTTTAGTAATTTTTTTCCTTTTATTATAGAATGTTAACGAGTATACAATAGCTTTGATTTTTATATTTTGTTTAGTATTTATAATTTTTTTTTTTTTTACTTGCTCATATTTTGATTTGCAATATTGGTAAACTTTATAAAACTTACGTTTTTTTGAACGCTACAAAATTTATATGTTTGTTTCTTAATTTACATTAAGGTTAGGGAGAGTTGTTATTTTATTTGAGTTCTATACAATATGTGGTACAAGCAAAATTGTTACAAGTTTTTAAGAAGAATAATATTTCTTTATTTTTTTTAGTATCTTATCAAAAAAAGATCGTGCCTTTATTATAATTAGATTTTAATTCCAACATTATTTACACGGGCATACACTAGTACAGCTTATAAACAGACTAGTAAACGTCACCACCTTTTTTCTACCAACAGTTTGTAGCATGGCACGCAGATACAAAACTTTGAAATTTCAAACAGGACCCACTTGAAAAATATGATATGAACAACTCATGTTTGTAAAAATTACTCAATTGTAATACACACTTCCCTCAAAACTTTGGCAGCATCCTCTGGAAAAACAGGATTAATGTAACAACCAGTTCCTATCTCAAAACCACCCACCCCAGTTAATTGAGGTACTATTTGAAGATACCAGTGAGCATATGGTAATTGTGAGGGAGTACTCTGAATTGGAGAAGTGTGAATCATGAAATTGAATGGCGGGTTGTTCAACTGCAAATACATCTTCCTAAGCATAAGTTTCAGTAACCCACCAAGATCGGCTGCCTGCAGAATTGCACATTGAGCACTGTTTTTAAATATCTAAAGAAACAACCCCTCCAAGAGCAACTCACATTCGAAAAAAAGAAAGAAAAAGATAAAAAACAAAAGAGCATCTAAAAATGTTGAACATGTGAAACGAGAGCAGTAAAAGAAAATGTATTTGGACCACATGGTAACCACTTGCAGCTGCCAATTATTTTGTCCATATTGATCCTGATTCAGTATTAGAAGTGCATTGATTTTTCACTGATTACCAAACAATTGTGTTTTAATATAGTCCATATTTTTTTGAACATCAAGTTCTAGTCTCAATAAGAATGCTAGTTCTTTAAATACCACACCGAATTGTTCTGTATGGACAAAGAGATACCATTGATACAGAGCCAACAAGGGTACCATTGGCATGCATCCAATAAGAATTGGCCCTACTAATTCTCCCATTATGGGTTATGGGTTTTAACCACACAGCCATGGATGGTTATTGGCTATCCTCGTACATGACAAATCAATGAAAGCGCATGTAACACCCAGCTATTACCTTTCTTGGCAAATGCTAATGTTTATCATTTTTTTTTTGTATTATATTGAGAGAGATTAAAATTCTCAATATTTCTTAGATTCATGGACCCAGTGTAATTAAATGAGATCTTTCATTCTTGTTTTCCCCCCACCAAGAATGTTTTTTCACAAGGTTCAACGAGTAATCAATATTTTCTAATAAAAAATGTGTTATTATGTACTTCATTGTAGTAGTGATCCTCATTTATTGTTTGAACAATTTATATATGTTCAAAAGGAAGGGGGGAATCTCTATTTGATAGATCTTCTTCCTATACCTACAAAATATGTTGAAAGCAGAACAATTCAGTATTTCACTAACTTGATCTAATGGTCTAGTATCTTAATTGTCTTTTGTAATTGTAAGACATCACAACAATTTCTGAATAACATCCTTATGCATAGATGTCCACAAAAAAATGACTCATCAACTTCATTATAAATATTTTCAATGATGTTTCATCAAAATGCCACTTTTTCGTTGCCAATCATCATCGAAATCCAAACTCTCCATCTTGGAAGTATGGACACACGACACGACACAAATACGAAGGATATGCTGACCCAATTTTTTTTTAAAAAAATAAATAAATTACAAGATATGACACATGGAAACACGTGCAAAATTTATGGTAGCGTTTGGTTTACTTTTCAGAACTCAACTCTATTTTTAAATCATGATTTGGATGAAACATGCTAACCAAATATATTTTTAAATACAACTCAAAATTACTTTCAAAACTCCTCTCTTCTCTTCTCTTATTTATTTATTTATTTATTATTATTTAATCAATCAATCATTTTTTCTCTCTCATCTCACATTCTATACATCGATCGATCAAAAAAATAATAAATAAAAATACAAATCATCCAAAAATTATTTTCAAAACTCATAACCAAACCAAACCAAACCAAACGAAGCCTTAAGTCCCATCAAATGGGGTCGGCTACATGAATCCTTCTTCTCCACGCGGCCCTATCACTAAACCAAACGGACCCTATAATTTTATATGTTTATTATAATCAAAGATAGTAATGAAATGCTACATAATACTAGTTCCTAAAGTTTAAAAGATGATGAAATTAATAGATATAAATCTACATTTTTTCTCTTCTTTTTTATCTGCATTTATTGTTTCTCCTTTATGATTGTATCCTTTGGCCCTGTTTGATTCCAGGATATAAAGGGTGGGATTGGATATTATATCCTGTGGGGTCCACATATCCCATGTTTGCAATTTTTTTCCAAAGAGGATATAATATACTATGGGATTGTATATCCCCAAAATTGGAGGATATACAATACCACCACCCCCCATTATATCATATCCCCTTGGTTGGGATATGATTTAAAGAGCCCAATTTACCCTTTTGTCTATATAACATAATATAATTTAATATATTTTTTGAATATAATATAATACAAATTTTGAATTTAATATAATATAATATTAATGAATTTAATTTAATATGATATAATTTAATATAAAATTTTGAATTTAATATAATATAATATTATTGAATTTAATTTAATATAATATAACATTATTTAATTTAATTTAATATAATATAATATTATTTAATATAAATTTTGAATTTAATATAATATAATATAATATAATATAATATTATGAGGGCAATCTTGGAAATTATTTGTTTATATCCCACAATATATTTTGTAAAACAAACATGGATAATATATATTCAAACTTATATATCAAGTCAACAAGCATGAATTAGGAGATATATTATTCAATACCTATATCCTATTCATTATATATCCTGACTAAATTCCACATCATATTATATCCTCCATTTTATATCCAGTGAAACAAACCGGGCCTTTAAGTTTGTGTTTAATGTGTGTTTAAATTATGGACACTTATATTCCCCAAAGTGCCTGAACTATATATGAGCCTGCAAAAATTAAAAAATAATGACACGTTTGGATGTGTGTTGAGTATCAATACAAGTCGGGAAGTGTCTTGTAAGTGTCAATGTCCTAGGGACACACTACCTTCTTAGGATTTTTATGTGCTTGTTAGCTTTCCATTATGTAGTACACTCGATAAAAAGCAATTGCACATGATGCTCCAAAAATCCAACTTTGTCAAACTTCACAGGATCTCAACTACTCTAAGATATTACAGAAACAACAGTATCCAATAATGCACTTCTATCCACAGTCATTCAATATTTTTGACTGCCATAGGCTCTGCTGTTTCTCCAAAATGTGTCACCATAATTTTTATGGCTTTAGGGCTTCATTAGAACCATAAAATGGCATTATGCCAATACACCTAAAATAGCATCAAGATACACCAGAGGTTGTTAGTTCACATACATAATGGTGATCTCTCTCTCTCTGAAATTGAAGCTTTTAATTAACTACAACACTCTTTTCTTGGTCTCTCCAACAGCTTGCTTGCCTTGAAGAAAAAATTAGAGCAATTTTCACACTCAAAAATATATTTGCTTCCAAACAACATAAAAGCTGTACCTACTGGAGTCTGGACTATGATAATCATTGAAATTTTACTAATGAAAACAGAGAGAAAAAAAAGAAGCAAACCCCAGTTATCAAATAGCTATTACCTTTGATGAGCAAGACGGGTTTATTAAAGCAATGATAAAAGAAAGGAAAGCAAGAAGCATTGACAAATACCTTCTCGCCATCTATTTCATGGAAATGAGAAGAGTGACACAGGGGAATAATCCATATCTCGAAAGGAAAAGTAGCGGCAAAGGGCGCAATGGAAATGAAATGGGTTGATTGATCAATTAAAAAATTGTTTGATTGAATTTCACAGAGACTACACTTCCCTGTCTGATCAAAGTTCTCCTTCATACTGTCAAGGCGGGCAGAAACAGCAGGAGGGACGAATGGAAGTCCCATCATCTGACTGTGAGAATGAGTCATTGAAGCCCCAGCTGATGCACCATGGTTTTTAAACACCTTTAAATCACAAAATCAATATCGGTAAACTTAATAATAAGAAGAAGAAGAAGAAGAAGAACCATAATTCATATCAATGGTCAACAAACCTGAACGTATTTGATGGAATCGTGAGAGCGTAGCTGTTCAATCCTCTTCTTGTAAGCCAACAAGACATCACCGACATGGACCGGGTTGAGATCGGACAAGTGAAGAGAGTGAAGTGGGGATTCAATGACCACGTCGTGAAAACCAAACCCACTGAGAGTAGGAGTAGGAGTTGGGTTTTGGGGAAGAGAGGAGGGTTGGATGTCTCTGGAGAGAGCTGGGTAGAGGTTTTGGATTACTCGGAGTTTCCAATTGGAGGTGGAATCGGAGGGGAAGCGGAAGATCTCGGGGGCGCATTCGTGCTCGTGGCCGATGCAAAATGGGCATTCAGATTGGTTAGGGTTAGGGTTAGGGTTAGATTTGGATTTGGATTTGAAATCGGAAGGACGCCGAGCTCTGGCGGGAGAGAAGATGACCCATCGGTTATTTACAGTGTCTTTCCTGATTTCTGCGCTCCGATTTTCTGATGATCCCATCGTTGTACTGATTCCTGCTCCGTCCTGTTGAGATAGATAGGTACTGAAAATCTTATACACCATACAATACAAACAAAAATACAAATACAAATTGAGAGAAAGGAATGAGAATGGATTCTCTCTCTCTCTCTCTCTCTCTATCTGAGCGAGCATCTATCTAATTACAGAGGCCGTATAATGTTACACGTTGGGCTCGGTGGACGGTCCATGTGACTGACTACTGAATTTAACACATTATTTTGTATAGTTTCGAAAATTATTTGACATTTGGAGTCGGTAATTTTTTATTCACAGTGTTTTAAAAATAATAATCTAATAAATATAAAATATTATAAGGAAATTTATTTGGAGGGATTGAATCATGGATGAGATTCATATTTGGTAGATACAATAGTCTATTATTTAGTTTAAAATTTTTATATTGAACTATTAATTCCAAACATATGCAATTGTTCTATCTCATATGGGGGTTGGGACACAAATCATAGCATAGTTTTGAAAATCGGATCAGATTAGTCGCTTTGACTGGATGAACCATTGAACGATCGAGATTTCGGTTTGAATATACGCCTAAATTGTTCCAGCCTAAAAATCGACCTATTTAGAGAGAATCGGAAAAAACTTACATTTGAATCTCCGAACCGAGTGACTCGAGGACGGGTCGCATAAGGAAATTAATTTTTTTTTATAGATATTTTGGTCTAAAGCTTTATTTAATTCTTTCTTTTTTTTTTTTTTTTTTGCCCTTTCTTCTTTCTTTCTTATTATATATAAAAGAAAATTTTAATTATAAACTCTTTTTCATCGGTCTCTTCTAAGGGTTTCTTCTTGTGAGGAATCCATTGAAAGTTTCAAATTATTGTGAAAGTCTCTACCTATTTATAAAAAAAAAAAATTCTTTCAAAAAACTTAAAAAATCTATGTGGAATTCAATCAAATTTATTGGAGAGAGCTTGAAATTTTGATATCTCCAAAATCTTTGCTCTTCTTTCAATCAAATCAATTGAATTAAATCATATGGAGAATATTAAATAATTGGTTTTCTCTTCCAAAGTTAACATTAATAATATTTTAAAATATATATTTTATTTTTTAGTAAAAAAATATTAGAAGAAATATTTAAGATAATTTAATATTTTCAATTTTTTAATTTATATTTTTATTTAAATATATATTTTAATATATTTATAACGTTATGGTTCGATTCCGGTCACACCCAACAGTTGAATCGATGACCCATCCACCTGATAATTTTTTCAGTTCGCTCACCGGTCCGTTTTTAAACATCGAATCATAAGATAACTCATCCCTGGGAATAGATAGTAAAATTACATTTTTGACCCTCTACTATTCAATATATTTTTAAAATAATATTTATTTATTAAATTATTTATACTTAGTAAAGTATAAATCATTATTTATTTAATAATTATTTATTTAAATAATCATATGTTATTAATTATACTTAGTAAAAGTAAATTTAAATTTTAAAAATCTCAACTATAAATTAAAATAAATTTATGTAATTTTTATTAATATTCTATTTATTTAATTTTTTAAAAGTTATAGTAAAAAAATTAAATAAAATTTATAATTCATATTTAATATTTTTATTAATTAGTAAACAATTCAAAAGAACAAAATAGTCTTTTGAGCATACAAATCCAATCAAACCAAATAGTCATGAGACAATGTATCTTAGGACTAATAATTCGATGGATTACAATCTCCCCTTATCTAATCCGTCCAAACAAACACACCCTAAGATTACTAAATAATTACTCATATAATTTGCTTAACAAAATCATTTCTATGTTAAAAAAACAAGTTGTTCTAATATTAATAGTTATACCATCTCATTATTTATTTTAAAAATTAAATTATCATATAAAATACTTGAAGCGATTTCAGAGTAAGAGAAGCTGTGAGAGATGGAGAGAGGGCTAAAAACGAGCCGAACTTTAATATGTTTGGGTTTGTTTATTAAGATTTTAATGAACTCGAACTCAATAAAAATTTAATGAACCGAGCTCGAACTGAGTTGGCTTAGGCTTGACTCAAGCTCGAAGTTGTTCACGAGCCTTAACGAGTCAACAAATTTATAAATTCACACTTGCGTTAAAGTTACAATTAAAATTTTGATTTTATAATTATATATACAATATATATGAACATTCTAAAAAAAAAGTCAATATTTTACTAAAATAATAATATCTACTACCATTATTATATATATGTACTATCTATAGTTAACTATTATTTACATTGATATTTTTTAAATATATAAATAACATATTTATTTTATTTTTTATACCTATTTTTATATTATTTAATATATAAATAATAAATATTAACGAGTCAAAAAATGAGTCAAGCTTTAAAATGTTTGAGTTTATTTATTAAAAATTTAACGAATTTAAACTCGAACTCGAATGCAAAAAAAAAATTTAACAAATTAAATTCGAACAAGCTCCTACCAAACTGAGCTGGAGGCTGTTCACGAATACCTTTGTTCAATTCCAGCCTAGATGGAGACAAGGAAAATTGAACAAATTATGGATATGGATGGTAATTTTTCTCTGACTCCTTTTGTCCCTATATTCCCATCCACCCGATTTTGTTTTACCCTCACATCATTGGAATTATATTCATATAATATATACTTTAAAATATAATAAAAGTAACATATTCAAATATTACACATAATATTAATTTAAATTTATTTATTTATTATTTTATTAGCGGATAATGCATGTACAATTAAGAAAAAGAAAATTTATTATAAAGTTCTATTTGAAGAAAAATACTTGCAGTCTAAGAAGTCCTACTTATTTAGAGCATCTTCAACGGTAGTAGGCATTTTACCTATCTGAATATTACTATAAAGTATATATTTTATTTTGTCTATCAACTGTTTTATGTTTTTACTCCAACCATGCTCTTTATTTTAGTTATTTATCCAAATACTATTAATTTTATAGAATGCCACGTCAACAACAAAGATGGAGGGAAATGATCCTAATAATTGAATACATTTTGCTTAGCGTTGAAGGCTAGCTACATGTAGCTAGTGAATATGAGTTGAGGCAAAATGCCTAATCATATGCCTAGTGCATTGGAATTGAAAAAAGTGAATCACACTAGGCATTTTAACTAACAAGTATTATATGCCTAGTGCATTGGAGATGCTCTTAGAATTGTATTTTGACAAAGCCCTTTTCTTTTTCTTTTTTAAATTTTGACGTTATTTCATGACCTTATTACCCCTAAGTTAATAGATTCATATCCGTTATGTTTCAATAGTGCAAAAATTGTGACTTTTGTCCAGCCTGCTATAGAATGGTTGAACAAATACGTGGGATTCATGTATCAATATCTCCATTTCCGACTGTGAAGACCGACAATGATTGTGAGGCTCTAGGTATCAATTGTTGTTGCAAAAATGATCCAGAGCTCGAAACTCTACGGCTCGAAACGGTTGGAATTTTTTTTTTCCTTTTCAAGCAAAGGAGCTCTGCACAAACAGAGGAGAGGAGAAAGAGGGAGAGAAGAGAGGAAGAAGAGAGGAGAAGAGAAAGAGGAGGAGGCAGCACCACCGTCGTCACAGTCGCCTCGTCGCCGTCGTCGCAGCACCACCTCCTCACCTCCTCGCCGATTGTCGCACCACGGCCTCGCCGATCGTCGCAGTCGCAGTCGCAACCCCCTCCTGTCCAGTTCATCGCAGCAGCTAGCCCGGCGCAACCCCGCCTCCTCCTCCAGCCCGATTTTTATGGCCCCCTCCCCTCCCACTTTCCTCCTCCTCCTCCCGATTTTCTTCTCCACCCTTTTTCTTCTTCCTTTTCTTCTTCTTCTCCATTCTCTTTCTCTGCAAACAACACAGGAAAAAAGAAAAAAAAAATTTTTATGGCCCCCTCCCCTCCCTCCTTCCTCCTCCTCCCGATCTTCTTCTCCACCCTTCTTCTTCTCCCTTCTTTTTCTTCTTCCTTTTCTTCTTCTTCTCCGTTCTCTTTCTCTGCAAACAACACAGGAAAAAAGAAAAAAAAAACAACACCAAAACGACGTCGTTTTGGTGTCGAGCCAAATTCGTGCCAAAGAATTTCGAGCTACGTAGTGGGGTCGTTGTTGTTGGGTTGTGTTCATTCTAGTCTATGGAACTGTTTATCAATGAATTATTGAAGGTATGTATAATATCTCTTTCCATGATTCACAGAATACTTCATTCAGGAGGATTTGTATGTTTTTTAATATGGTTTTTGTGTGTTTGTCGATGAATATTTCTTAAAAATGTAAATCAAACATAGGCCATGTTATATTTTGGGTGAGTTAAATGTGAAATATGATTTGTCTAAACCAGCAATGTGACTACAAAAATACTTTAGTGTGCTTTTTTAAAATGTGACATGTGGAATGTATCATATCTTTTTCTGTGATTCACAAAATACTTCGTTCAGGACGGTTTGCGTTTTTTTAATAGGGATTTTGTGGGTTTGTCAATGAATATTTCTTTAAAATGTAAATCAAACATGGGTTATGTCATATTTTGGGTGGATTCAATGTGAAATGTGATTTGTCCGAACCAGTAATGTGACTATAAAAACACTTTAGTATACTTTTTAAAATGTGACATGTGGAGTGTATCATATCTCTTTCCATGATTCACACAATACTTCATAGGTTTCTATTTTTTGAATATGGATTATGTGTGTTTGTCGACAAATATTTTTAAAAAATGTAAATCAAACATAAGCCATGTTACATTTTTGGTGGATTAAATATGAAATGTAATTTGTCCAAACTAACAATGTGACTACAAAAACACTTTAGTGTACTTTTTTGAAATATGACATGTGGAATGTGGTTTGTCAAAACCAGCAATGTGATTACAAAAATCTTTTAGTGTACTTTTTAAAAATATGACATATGGAATATGATTTGATTTTCAAAATGGGCATGCCATATATAATTTTTTGAAACGTGACATGTGAAATGTGGCTTGATTTCCAAAATGGACATACTACATTTTTTTGTAGATTGAATTTGGAATGTGATTTGTCTAAACCAATAATATGACTACAAAAATTTTTAGTGTACTTTTTTGAAATGTGACATAAAATGTGGTAAACAAAATTAAATAGTATGAAAATTTACATTATTGATGAAATGTATGATGAATGCTCACATTTTAAATTGATCGATTTAAAA